AGGAGAAGCTCTCACCATCTCCTGTTATGTTTGACATTTTTTTTTCACCTCTCTTTTGGTTGATAATAATTGTGGCTTCACTTTTCGTATTATCTCTCCTTAATTCTTATTTGCCAAGTTTTGTGGTGATTTTGGAAAGAGGGGAAGGGTTGGAGATGGGAGTGTGTTCTCCTTTATGGAGTGAGGGGAGGGTATTCATGTAATTATATAATGAGTAGGACGTATATATTTTAAAATATTTGGCTAATAAAATGATATGGATGAGAAGGGGAGCAACATTAGGTACGTATTCACATTTTTGTAGTTAAAGCATATGTTTTTTGTAATAGCCCAAATTGAATCTTTTTGGAAAAAAAAAATTTCCTCTTCTTTTGGACCGTATGTATGATAACGTGATTTCGTCCCTCGTACTAAGAGAAAATCAATTACATTATTTTTTGACCGTTAAACTTCTGTCCTTCATCTTCTTTGCAAGAACCCTTAGGACAGGATGGACTTGCGAGCAATTACAAAGTTTTGAGGGACTAATATATGACTACTGAAAATTTCAGGACTAATATCTAGATAATCCTAACTATTTAGCTGTGTAACTATAATTGCTCTCTTTAGTTTACCACTGCTTTATATTGATGCATGCCTAGAAACAACTGTTACATCTATGTATGTCCAAAATCAAATACTATTTGTATGCATATGCCCATGGTTGATAAGGTTGTGATGAACAAAATTTTTAAAGTGAAATAGACATTTTCTATGTGTTACTACGTATGTATAAACTACTATAAAATCTACATATTTTGCTTTGCATCACATATATAATCTTTCTACATAATATATTACTACAACAATTATCATTACTTTTGTTCTCAATATCGATTAGTTCTACACGTATATTATGCTCAGCCTCAGAAGCCAATAACAACGAATCGGTCAAAAAATTATTTATCCTTATTCACATCGATTCCTAGACCATTGATACTCATTTTATTTGTAAATGTAAGTACTAAAACACTCAAAACTTCTTTCCAATAATTTTCTATAAATAATTTCTTATCTTTTCCCTTCAAAGCAGTGTACTACTTTTTGCCCAGAAAAAATTTAGAATAAAAATAAGCATGCCACACGCATTGCACGTACACTATACTAGTTAAATAATAAAATAATAGTCTGACCAAAGGTTTTGAAAAAGTGAGGAAATACATAATTAATAAGATGTTATATATAATTAGTGAATGATTAATTACAACTAATAACATATTTGAGAATTATCAAACTCAAAAAGTACAAACATGAAAATCAAAAGTTTTCACAATGCAATCCTCTTTTATATATAGTATAGGTATAGATATAGATATAGATACAGATTAAATGTCACAGTTATATATTAGGAATAAAAGTAGTTATTCCTGTGATCTTCACTATTTTAACAAATACTGAACCATCAACAGCGGAACTAACTAAACAGATCGAGATAATACACATTTCATTAATTATTACTCTTAGGGGCTGTTTGGTTCGTTTCCTAGATATAGGGAAATGCAATTCCATGTAAAGAAACACAAGTTTTTAGTTTTCCAAACTTTTCCAAGAATTTAGTTTTTGAAACTTTTCCAAGAATTGATTGTTTTCGGCTTGGTTCGCACATAAAAAACTGGTGGAAACCAATATATTTACTTTTTTCTTGTGTTTGGTTCGCAGGGAAAAAAAAGGAAAAACTTTTGTTAAAACTATGCATTTCCCACTTTTTCTCTGTGTTTGGTTGGTTTTGGAAGTGGCGTAGGAAAAAGTATTTATTGGTCACCATGGTAAGATTTACCCCCCACTATAGGCAATTTTTTGTGCTTGTTATGGAGATAATTGCTTAATATATATAAAAGTGCGAATGTAGGGCATGTTACAGATAATAATCCTCCCCGAAATTCATTATAAATTTCTGAGCAAAGCAGACGCACGCGCTGCATCAGGTTAATAGCAGCAAACAATTTGTCACACAAGTTAGCATCATAATGAACTAACCGCAGACCCGCAAAGGTGTTTAAAAAGGTAAAATAACTAAAGCAAGCAGATTAACTACATGCGACCAACTCTGATCTGCCTACAAGCACACTGGATTTAAATACTGACACAACATAATCAGACTCGTTAAAAGCAAGCAACAATCACTCTCATCTTCTCCTTCAGCTTGATCTCGAATTGCTGGTGCAAAGTACAGGGAGTCGTCGAGTCATAAGAAGGTCCTCAATATTCTCATAACCTGAAAATGTATGATGCTGCTTTTTAATCCCAATTGTTTTGACTAGTGCATCGATCAGGTTCTATGTGGCTTGGTTTGCCACTGTTAAGCAATATGAGACTATAATACAAAGTGCAAAATTGGAGAAGAAACTGAAAACTCCATAGAGAGTGGTATGAATGTAGTCCACATCAGGCAACCTGTAATAATGGGCCAGGAAGATACCTGACTTTGAGTGAGCGTTGACTCTGGGACTAGGAGGAAGCAGCATCTTGTTCAAACTCGCAATGTTAAGCTATCTTCAGTGTCTGATGGAATTCCTGTATGAGAAGCAGAAGAAGAAAGTACAGACAAGTTAAATAAACCACGTAGATCTTCACTTCCAAGAAGGCCTGTAGCCACTGACATAGAAAGTATATTATCTATGTAACATCTATAGAATCGTCAAACAACACAAGAAAGAGGTTACTGATAAAAGTGAATAATAATTGCTAGAGAAATTATCAAGCAGCATAAATTGTAAAGCTTTAGTAGATACCATCTTTCCTACAGGCATTAACTCAAACCATGAACATGGCACAACTGAAAGGTCTATGTAAAAAGATATAAGACCAGGATTTGATAGACCTTTAGGCAGAACATGCGCCTTTTTGTGAAATCCACATGAAAGGGCTGGTTAAAGTAGGAAGATGCAAATAATATATGGCCAGAAGCCTGAAAAAGCATCTGTACAAAGAAAACTAGAACAATCGGTTTCATCTCTTCACTCTCTTTTGTAATTCTTTCAATGTGCCTGATTTGGTTTATTTATACATTCCAACCTCTTTTAATGTTGTGCAGGAGATACACCCCAAATGATTAGGGCGATGCTCTGCGGAGACTTGATTTTGTCCTAAGCCCAAAAGGAAAAACTCCATAAGCAAGACATCAGTCTCTCTCATTAACTATTCCGTGAATGAAGTACTCTGGCGGCCAAGTATCTGGATCATTCAGCACATAAGCAACTTACTAGATCAAACCAAAACAATTAGAATACCAGTTGGAGGATACCTACCTGTACTAACTAGCATGAAAATCAAGAATGTCCAAAAAAAACCAACAGCAAGTAGGCACAACAACCCAGCAGAAATATCCAACAGGCATCAACAAAACCAACCAGCCAAACAAATCAATAATGCAGCCAAAACACCAACAGACAAGTAGGCAACAACAATCCAGCAGAAAAAACCCAACAGGCATCAAAAACCACCAACAACACCAACAGGCCAATCAACACCACCAATTATGTTTAACAAAGCGCCAACAGCAGAGATGTTTAACTAATTATGGATTAAGGCGTCAGAATTTGGTCAAAATCATCATTGTTAGCCATCCAGTACAATATCAAAGATATTGCAGGTTGCTAATCTCAGAAATATTGACAATCATCATAGCCTAAATTGATGCAAACCAAAATGAACACAAACAGATTCTAATGAGCACAAAGCTATAATCAGTTTTCTACAGATAATAATGCAAACAAAATCTGAGCCAACAAAATCAAGAATGCAGCAAACAAACACCAACAGGCAAGTAGGCAACAACAACCCAGCAGAAAAAAACCAACAGGCATCAACACCACCAACAACATCAACACCACCAACATGTAGGCAACAACAACACAGCATGTCTGTATGCTGAAATGCAACAACAATCCAGCATGGTATTGATTTTGTTGGCTGTTAGTATTCCATGAGTTCAGAAAATAAGACCTACATGTCTGTATGCTAACAATCCAGCATGTCAACACCAACCAGACCCATCAACACCAGCCAAGGCTATGCAACACCAGGCCTCAACACAGGCCTCAGCACCCAACAGGGCTCAACACCCTCAGGCGCTGCAACCAGGACATCAATACGCACCACGGAACACACAACAGGCTTGAAACAGCACCAATTATGTTTAACAAAGCCAACGCAGAGGAATGTTTAACTAATTATGGATTAAGGCTGCAGGATTTGGTCAATAATCATCGAATTTGTTAGCCATCCGAGTACAATATCAAAGATATGGCAGGTTGGCTAATCTCAGAAATATTGACAATCATTCATAGCCTAAATTGATGCAAACAACAAAATGAAGCACAACAGATTCTAATCATGGAGCACAAAGCTATAAATCAGTTTCTACAGATAATAATGCAAACAAAATCTGCAGCCAGACAAAATCAGAATGCAAGCAAACAAACACCAACAGGCAAGTAGGCAACAACAACCCATGCAGAAAAAAACCAACAGGCATCAACACCACCAACAACATCAACACACCAACATGTAGGCACAACAACACAGCATGTCTGTATGCTGAAATGCAACAACAATCCAGCATGGTATTGATTTTGTTGGCTGTTAGTAATTCCATGAGTTCAGAAAATAAGACCTACATGTCTGTAATGCTAACAATCCAGCATGTCAACACCAACAGAGCATCAACCCACAAGCATCGAACACACAGGCCTCACACCAGGGCTCAACACCAACAGGCCTCAACACCAGGCCTCACAGCAGCATCAATATCCACGCAACGACAACACCAACAGCATTAACAGCCACCAATTATGTTTAACAAAGCCAACCAGAGATGTTTACAGTTATGGATTAAGGCTCAGAATTTGGTCAAAATCAATCATTGTTCAACCATCCAGTACAATATCAAAAGATATTGCAGGTTGGCTAATCTCAAGAATTAATATTGACAATCATGACATAGCCTAA